CGATTTACCCTCTGTAGATGGTCTTCCGTCCATCCCGGGCGCCGCCGCCGGCTGCGTCATTCCTGGGTTGGACCGCCGCGGCGGCGCCGTCTTCGGTCGGTTGGCGCGCGGCGATTTCGACGGCGTGGACGTGCCTGGTGAAGCCGGAGGCGGAAGCTTCGCCGCCACCGCCGCCGCCGCTGCTGCCGCCGCCGCTGCTGCTGCTGCTGTGCCATCTCCGCCGCCATTACCCCCTCCGCCGCTGCCGTCGGCTCGCCAGTCACTGCCGTCACTGTCTTTATCATCAACATCACCGCCGTAGCCATTGCCACGAGCAGCGGCAGCTGCTCCGCTGACACCGATGCCGCCACTGCCAACGCGACCGCCGGCGTTGCCCGTATCGCGCCGCCGCGACGTGACCTCCCTTCCGCCATAGCTGTCCCCGTCCCCACTGCGACTACTCGACAACGGCCGCGGCAGCTCCGGCTCCTGCCGTACACCCGATCCAAGCAACACCGCATCATCGACATCTGAGCCCTCCGTCACCGCGAGCTCCGCACCAAGCCCCCAGGCGCTGGGCGGTCGCGTTGCCGGCGGCGGTGCGGGACGCGGCGGCGACAGCAACGCCGCCGCCGCCGCCGCACCAAAGCCATCGGTGCCTTCAGTGGCAGCGGTGACGCCCGGCGCCGCCCGCAGCGCCGCCACCTCCTCTGACAGCTCCCGTACAAGCTGCATGAGAGATTCCATGGCGGCTTGTTGCGCAGATAGCCCTCCCTTGACCATGTGGGTCAGGGCCTCCGTCTTCTCCAAGATAGTCGACTGCGAAGGGGTTACGCGTGTGGGTACGTGAGCTGTGAGCGTTACGAGCGAGTGTATGAACGGTCTGACGAATGAAATTCAAATTGTAACGGTCAACTGAAAACACGGCATTCTGGATCCAGCGCCCGTCTCACCATGTAATACGGTAGCCGAGCTAGCGGACTCAATAGAAATACAAGACAGAAGCATGGCGGAGAGAGAGGCAGACAGACAAACAGATGCACACCCCATGGACGTGACAGGCCCAATCGCAAGCCCCCCTCTCTCTCTCTCTCTGACACAGAGACACACACAGACACACACACACATGCATCTCCTCGCCCTTCTCTCCTCCAAAGGGGGAGGCTGCTTCGGCGGTCTTTCCGTTGGGGCTTGGAAGCAGCCCCTGGCCAGACCAGCATCAGGCCCGGTCGGATACTTGTAACCTTCACACACTCTCTCTCTCTCTCTCTCTCACCTCCAGTGTATCATCATCCGCATCCTGTTGCAGCTCGTCATCGTCCCACGGGTCATCATCATCCTCCAGGTCCTGCATCTGGGACTCGATGATGTCCTGGGAGGAGCTGCGGGGGTCCACGCGCAGATCCCACCCCTGGAGTGAGGGAGGGAGGGGGGTTGGGCGGCGCGGGGAGGCGGGGGAGTCGAGAGGAGAAGGGGGGGGGAGGCGGGGGAGGAGGCGGGGAAGTCAAGAGGAAGGGGAGGGGGTTAAGACAAACCACTGGCGAATGAAGCAGGTAAAGGAGAAGGGGAGGGAGGAAACGGAAGAGTGGTAGACATGAACCTGTCTAGGGGCTGATGGAGAAGAGGCAAGAAGGTTGGAGTTGGAAAGAAAAATCCTGGAACAGGAGAGGCGGACGCGGCTGCAAAGAGGGCTTATATATAAATTGTACCTATCTTGAGGCCCTATAGGGCAAATGAGAGATGTTAGAGAGATGATTTATTGGCACCCTAATAGAAACAGCGCACCGAGAACAGGACTACCGCGTACCAAAACTGAACATCGAAATTCGAAAACCAAAAGGCTCCGAAACCAAAATGTCCAAAATTTTGAGCAAAATCCAAAACCAGCTCCGCAGTTGAAGTCCCAGAAGTAGCTCCAAACCAAAGCGAGGATCATAGCTCCGGAACCAATAGTCCGGTAAGAGACCAAAATCATGATTAGCTCCGAAACCCAAAGCACACTCACCGCCATGTGTAACCGGAATTTGCTGGCAGCCAGCGCCTTGAGCACGTCCCGCTTCGTGAGGTAGCGTTCGTTCTTCAATGCGATGACCTTCAGGATGGCATGCCGCCAGTGCAGGCGGGCCTTACTCTGCTTGTAGTACAGCTGTTCGGACACGTCACCTGCGCCGCCTACGCCGCCGCCGACGTCGTCAGCGCGGGCGTCTGCGGCTGCGGCGCCGCTATCCTTCTGACTGCGTCCACCGCCGCCGCCGCCGCCGCCGCCAAAGAGCGCGCCAGTACCACAACCCGCCGGCACAGACACCGCGCCTCTACCGCCACCCGCGGTCGCCGCCTCCGCACCGATGCCGCTGGCGACGTGCAACGCCGCCGCCGCCGCCGCCGCCGGGCTAACCCGCCGTCGTCGCCGCCGCGCCCGCGCCATATCCACGAAAGGCCGTACACCCACATTATAGCAGCTGAACAGCACCTTCGCCACCCATTGATACAACGAAGCCCAGCCCACAAGTACCAGCAGCACCATCACCACCAAGTAAAACACCAGACCCACCACTGTGAGGAAGACTGACGCAAGGAGGTACCCTGCAAAGTGAATCAGGCCCGTTTCGGCGGCGTTAGCCTCCGCCTGAAGCTCCTTCTTCAGCCTCTGGTACTGCTTCACGACGTCGTTACCGCTGCTTGGGCTGCGGGCCACTACTACACCCGGTGATGGCGCAGCAGCGGCGGCGGCGGCGGTGGCGCCGGTCTCCACATCCGCTGCGGTTGCAGGCGCCGCCGCTGGCGTAGCCGGCTGCGGAGGTGGCCGCAGCGGCGACGGCGGTGACGGCGACGGCTCCGCCGCGGTCCCGACTTGCGTTATTGTTGTTGTCGTTGTTGTTGTTGTTTTTGTTGTTGTTGTTCGGCCAGCGCCTTTTTGCTGGACCACATTGAGCTGGGCCTTGCTAGTCGCCTGGGGCGCCGCCCTCCTGCTGTGCTGCTCCATCCGCCTTTTGTACTGCTTGATGGACTTGCTGTACATCTTGCTCGCGAACTGCACCACCCCAAAAGGAGTGTACAGCAGAAACAGCGAGATGCACAGGACTGCGGTGGCAGGCGGAAAAAGAAGGGGAGGCGGCAAGGGAAGGTTAGGGGAGAATCGAACCTATACAGCGCTATTTATTGCTTACATTCACGAGTACATACATATATGTGACAATACAGCCAATAAAAAAACTAAAGCGTTAAAACAGCGGGCAGTGATACCGATACAATACGCTCTTGGCTCCATTACCTCGGTCCATTACGGTCGGGCCTACACATCAATCACTTGCTCAGTCATACATGTAGCACAGGCGTACGTGTAGCGAAGGTAGCTATCGGGACGTACGTTGTGAACCTACGTACGCGCGCGGGAGAAGGGAAGGATTGCCAGCCACCCGCCACCCGCCACCAGCACCCAGCACCCACCCAACCCAGCCAAGAAGTCACCGAGCCCACCCAGCAAGCAGCCCCCACCCGCAGCCACACCTCCCGCAGCCACACCGCCCAGCCCACTGACCCGCCATCATGGGGTACAACGTCAGGAGAAACGCCAGGTGGGGGAGCTCCGCGGCGCCAGTGGGGCGGTCCGAGCCGTCATCCGGCAGTACCATGCCGTCCAGCGGCACCAGCCCCAGCACCCACACGCCGCGAGCCGCGCCGCTGAGCTTGTTGCGGCGGCCGCTGGGCAGCAGCGGAGCCGCCTGCAGCGCCAGCTGCGTCAGACAGAAGGGAGAGCACACCAGGTTGCGGCGAACCTGTGTAGCACCAGGACGGGGCGGAGGTGGGGGGATGGGGGGTTGGGGTTGGGGTGAGTTTCATATTCATTTCCTCGCACCGCCGCCCAATTAAATGGTGGTCGTTGTCCGGCTTCAAGGAAGTGCCCCCCCGGGGGGGTGCGGTGGGTGTTTCGCTTCAAAGCAGAAAACATTGAGGCCGGCGACGCAGAGCGACATACACATTAAAATTAAAACACTGCAACCCTAAGGGCCGGTGATGATGGAATGCACTTGTGTGCATGGGATTATGGTTTTCGTCGTTTTCATCTCCGTCTTCGCCGGTCTCCGCGGGTCTTGGTCGTCGTAACTGTTTGTTTTTGTAGTGTGCGTCGTCATCGTTTGTGTGGTATAGCGCGCCCTGTTGACCACTGTGTACGACTGTGTCGTACCTGTGTTTGGTAGTAGCTCACGATCTGGGCCTTTTTGAACTGCGTCTCCGCCTCCACCTCCTCCGGTCGATAGCGATTGTTGATGATGGCGATCAGCCTTGCGTGGGAGGGCGGGGAGGAGGAGGGCGAGGAGGATGAGGAGGGTTCTGAAAGAGGACCTGTAACGGGAGATTGGCTTGGAAGAACGTAGACTCATAGCAACTAAAAAGATTGCGTGTTACGTAGCATCTCCCCCCCTTTTCCCCCCCCCCCCCACAGCCGCATTGCAGAGCTTGTCCAAATCTCTGGTGGGTTAGCCAGGCAGCTGCCAAGAGATGTCGGGGTGAGCTGCTACGTGAGGGGGGCCGCAAGGTACGCCGTACGCACCCGGCCGGCGGGAAATGACAGCCGACGAAACCGGGAATACACGCACATGTTCACGGAAGCGACCAAGAAAGCACTGACTGAGCTTTCTGAGGCTCCGAAAAAAATTCCCATTTACCCCCTCCTCCTCCGTTCGGCCCCTTTTCCTTTTAACGACAACGGCTTCTTCTTCTTCATAACAACAATAATAATAAGAAGAACAATAATAATAAGGGTAAGTAATAATAATTATTAGCAGTAACATTGGTAATACTACGTAATAATATTATTATTGTTATTCTTTTTTATTTTTATTATTACTTAGTATTATTATTATATACTTAGTATAATAATAATGATAATGATAGTAATAATAATATTATTATAATTATATTATAATTACAATAAGTAGATTAATACTATATATTTTATTATTATTTTATTTATTTATTTATTTATTTATTATTTTATTTATTATTATTATTATTTAGTATTATTTTTATTATTATTACCATCATCATTATCATTATTATTATTCACGCACGCCGATCTGCCTACGTAACGGTGGAAAAGACTCACAGGTTCATCAGTAGGATGGCCGAGATAACCAGAAAGATGGCCAGTACGACAATGCCATACAGCTGCTGCGTGCGGTTCAGCCCCTCAAACGCCGTAAAATCAAAATTTCCCAGAATGGAGCTGAACAGCTGCAACATCGACTGAAAGAAGTTGCCGTACTCGCCAATCTGCACAGCAGTTTGACAGGCAAGATATTCATGGGTCAGGGAGAACCATGGGAGGGGTTTATGGGCCTGTAGCGTGCGAGTTTTTGGGGGCTGTGTGTTTTATTTGTACGTTAAACTGGGAGCGTGTCCTGTGAGCCTTGTCGTCCATCGGAATATCATAACAATAACCAACCAACCAATCAAAACCAACCAACCATGTCTTTGTAGACGGCCGTCATCATGGTACTGAATCCCGTCATCACAATCAGCATGGGGAACAGGAAGGCGATCAGCTCCTCCATCATCCGTGCCACCGTGTTGAGCAATGGGCCCAGAGAGGGGTATACGGGTACGGCAATACCCAGTGCACGAACCTGCGGGGGACGGGGAGGATGTGGGGAGGGGAGGGCGAGCGATTGCGGTGAGGGGAGGGCCGCGGAAACAAGGGGGCAGGAAGGGAGGAAGGAGAGAGGGGTAGAGAGGTAACGCGCCTAACGCGAGGCGAGAAGGGGGAAGGAGCGGGGGCTGGGGAAGTAACATCATCGTCGTTCCGGCAATAAAACACACAGCTTGGCACGCACACGCGGACTCCAGAGCCGCCCATTGCCTGAGTCAAGCACAACAACACATACACGTGCATACATACGTGCATGCATACATACACACGCACGCGTGCACTCACCCACACAAACACAGCCAGTGTGGCCATGCACATGTGGATGGCGTCGGCGGGCTTGTACGGCGGCAGCCCGCCGAAATCCTGCGTCAGCTTGAGCACTGTGAGGACTGCGAGGCCGCCATTAACCACAATGCCGAGCGCGTTCCAAGGATCTGCCATAAACCTGTGGCGCCGTATCATGTCGTATCATGTCGTATCTCAGTTTATTTGATGCTGTTATATGCTATGTACATTACTGATATTCCAACACCATATATCCAGTCAATTCAGCCACCTATTCAATCATACACTCATATAGTCTAGTAAACTAGACTATATTTACAATATTGAGGCAAATCACACACTCATACGATCATACACACCTGCGTATCCGCGCCAGGGATCCGTATCGGAAGTGGACAAACTGAGCTACGTCCACAAGGTTGCCCGCAATGAACGCAAGAAATACCAAATGTACGGCCTGAAGGTGCCGTACATCCATATCGGGAAACATGACCTGCCACTGGTAGAGACCCAAAAACACCAGCTCCGACAAGGCGTGCATCGACCACCTATGTGTGTGTGTGTGTGTGTGGAGCCGGGACAGCGCGGGTAGGGGAAAAAGGGAAAGGATGGGGAAGGAATGTTTGAGCAAAGAATCAGAGTGATGATGAATTAAAGTACAATTACAATTCAGATGGCCGCTGCTATTATTTGCTGCCATTGCTGCTGCGATGATGAATGTGCTTTGGGTATGAAAAAACAAAGAAAGCACGCAAGAAAAAAAACCGCCCTGCGGGAATCGAATATGGAGCAGTTGCCATAGAGATCCTTCCGGTCTCCACATGGAACCATAACAATGAAGTCCCCGCACAATCATGCTACTGGCCGATCTGGGCGCTTCTTCTCCCCCCCCCCAAACTGGCACGCATACAGAGATACGCACAGACAGACACATATCTACGTGCGACACATGCTACCCTGATACCCACCTCCCGCGTGGCGAGTCGAAGAATGCGCTGGATGCGAACACGTACATGTGCCACAGGCGGCTGGCGGCCATGACCAGAAAGTCCATCGTGCCCTTGCCTGGAATCAATACCAACAGCACCAACAGCAGCACCAACAGCAACAGCAACATGACCTCGCCTGGCCTCATCTGGTCAGAACCGACTGATTATACGGCCGAGATACCAAGTATAATGCCAGAGGCTATGTATTCCTTGAAAAGCTGCCTGTGCTCTTACAAACAGCAGCAGCAACACAGCAGCACCGGCACCATCGGAGAAGAAGCAGGACAGAAGAAAAGAAACCCGAGATATCCCCTGCCCTGAAAAAAAACCCTCACCTCCCCCCCTCCCTCCCTACCCCCCTCCCTACTCATCAACACCAACTCGCCCATTCGCGTATATGTATCCGTGTCTCTCCCACACCTCTAACCCCCCCTCAACCCCCCCTCAACTCCCCTCATTCCCCCCCAACCCCAAATCCCATTTACCCGCAAAACCCATGCTCTTGAGCACTCCATACGCCAGTAGCGGGTTGGTGGCTCCCAGGCTCCGAGGGTCTTCGTGGCTGGTGAGCGCCAGCAGCTCCCCGCCCAGCCACTGAACCTTGACGTACAACTCCACCAGGCTCTCAGTCATAAACTTCAAATCGCACGAGTCAAACGCGACCTGCGAGGAGGATGGGAAGGAGGAGGAGGGGGGTAGGAGGAGACGAACCACGAACGAGTGAAGCTGCTGCCAAGGAGGGGGGAAAAGGAGGAGAAGGGGGAGGCGGAAGTTTGGAAGGGGTGGTAGTGGTAGTGGGGGTAGGGGTAATGGGGATAGCGGTAGGAGTGAAGCTGATCATGGGATTGAGGTGAACCCGTTGAAATGGGTTTTGGGGGCCGAGGGGTGAGAAGGGGGTGAGAGGGCGCCGGTGCGCATCCGGGAGAGGTAAAGAAAGCGCGACGTGCTGTGGCTTATAACGTACGGATGTACGAATGTACGGACGGACGTACCTGCAGTGGAGACACCTCGTTGACGGTGTTGGGTAGCTCCACAGGTTGAAGAATGCGCTCGATAAGACGGATGTTGCGAACATCGGCATACCTGCGTCGTGCAATGTGCCGTACGACATTGTAAATGTCGCTTGTCGCGCGCGCGCATACATCACAAGCACATACACCCCATTACCTAGACACATGTACATACATACGCACATACACACGCACCCACCTGTTCAGCCTCCTGAGCATGGCCAGGTGGAGCGAATGAAACCTCGCATAAGCCAGTCGCATGATTCGCCGGTTCTCTTCGTGCAGACTCATCTCGTCCTGGAGGGAGCGTTTCGGTGTTGGAGAGCACATACATACATACATACATACACACACACCTCAAAACACACATGCAACCCCAACCCTCTCCCTACTCTCTCACCGCCGTGTTGACGGAAGCCGTCAGCATGATTAACGAATAAGGTCCTCCCTGCTAAGACACGCCCACCATCATGCAGCCGGCCCAAGTCCCCCCCAAAATCACAACCGCACACACACATATATATATATAGATATGCACACACATACGCACACAAGCGTATAGCAAACCCTAAGTCGCACCTCCTTACCCCCGTCCCTCTCCTCCTTCCCCTCACCCTCACACCACCCCTGCCAGCCCCCTTCCCACCTCTATAGCTCGAATAATGGCGGCAGTAGCACTCAGGGGGTTACGGCGCTGCAGCACGTACTTCACCAGGAACTCCTCAATCTAAGGAATGGCGAAACGGGAGGGGAGACATCCGGGGCGTGAGGCAAACAAAATGGCGGTTAACACCCCTAAATTGTACTGTGTCCCTCCCCTGACTTCAAAGCCCCCCCTAGGCCGGCACCTCAGCGAATAGGAGCTCTCGTTGATCTCCGGTACTGCCGTACTAAACCCGCACACCCGGACACGGCCCCAGACAGCCATCATTTCTTGTCTTTTGACTCAGATATACATTTGAGCGTCCAATATTATTATGGGCCCTTGAGAGAGTAATGCAACTCCAGAAGGTGCAAAGGTGCAAAACACACAACATCATTGTTAATTTGAGTTCTGCCGTTCCCTCACCCTGGCAGCTAAATTCACACTCGGATCTGCGCCATCGAAGAAGTCCGGAAGGTCGTCGTCTCGCGTGCTGAAGGCGGAGTCCCAGGTTGATGTGCCGCCAAAGGCGCTGCTGCCGCCGCCACCGCCGCCGCCGCCGGACCCCGCACCTGCGGTGGCGCGCCCGCTGAGAGGCTGTACGGCCCAGGAATGTACGAGAAATGCCAGTACTCGCAGGTCCATTTCTATGGAAGTGTGGTCGTACAACATCACCATGAGCAGCGGGTCGTTGTTGGCGATGGCCACCTTCTCCACCTAGGAGTGGGAGTGGGGGGAGGGAGGGTGGGGGTTGTTACCGGTGCGTGTGTGTATGTGTGTATCGGTGTATGTATGTATGAATGTATCACTTTGCATATTGTCGATCCTGGGGCCTGACACTGGCCAGGGGCACCTAACCGTAACCCAACGGGAACGACCGCCGAAGCACTCCATCACTGGAGGGGCGTTATATCGATCAGAATCCTAACCGTTTTCCTTCATCAACCAAGGCGCCGTCACCTGTTCGAATCCTCTAGCCAGCTTCATGCATTAACTCATATGCCAAACAACCCCTCTGTCCCAACGAAAGCGCATGCTCTACAGCTGCGCGACCTGCCAATGCACTCACACCCAACGGTGCGCCAATCGCCACCCTATCCTTGCGAATCCTGCCGCCGCCGGCCGGTTTGGTTATCCAACCACCACCTGGAATACAGCCCCTGGTCCAGGCCTTGTGCAAGATTAATCCTCCGCCACTGCTTTGCGACAGTGTATTCATGGTGAGAGCTCCCCCTCCAGCCGCCCAGCGCACCGGAGGAACCCAGCGTCTCATCACCCCCATCGACTTCACCCGGGGAGGGGGGGGATCAGCGGTGGGACCCGAACCCACATCATCTCATAAAGCTAGATACCGTCTCTGGGATTCGAACTTCAGACTTGCGGATTACCTAGCCCGGTGCTTGAACCAACTTGAGCCCCGCCGATATGTCGGTATACCTTCTCCCCCACACCCACCCTCTCATTGTGTTCTTTTGCGCACAGGTCCTCGCCCACGCCCTCCCTCTCCTCCCCACCCCACCCCGCCGCCACGTACCCTATCCACGGTATCCTGCGATTTGAGCAAGTGGTCCAGGTAGTGCGACTCGATCAGGCGCCTCAGAGCCGCCCCGTCGCGAGCTGCCAGCGTGTAGTCCAACACACCGTCCCAAGTGAGCTGACCGCTCTGGAGGCGCAAGAGGAGGGGAGGGGAGGGGGGGGGTCAGGGGAGGGGGAGAGGGGAGGGGTTTGTGCCGTACGTCTTGGGAGTGAATGATGGATTTGGTGTCTACGGCATCCATGGCGATCCACAGGCATGGCAAGGGAAGCACAAACACACACACACAGATAATTTGAAAATAGTTTATTGAAATTAGTTTGAAAAGTTTGAAAATTATTGAAGGTTAGTTCATGGAAAATAGTTTATTGAAAATCGTTTGACCATAGTTTGAAAATACCTAATAATCGTGAGAGATGAACGAGGAGAGAGATGAAGCGCGGGAGAGGGGTACAGGCGGGTGGTGGCGGCTGGAGGAGGGTGATAGGGAGGCGTTGTGGTGGACCAACACACCCACCCACCAACACGCGCATCCAGCCACCTCCAGCAGTGTGATGGGC